TACCTTTTTAAGGGCTTATATAAAGAAATCATAATAAGGAGCCCTAAAAAGGTAGGTTCTTCAGGGTCCATAAACCCTAAACCCTAAACCCTAAACCCTAAACCCTAAACCCTAAACCAACCCTAAACCGTAACTTTAATCCGACAGTTCGTTCTCAGGCTCGAAATTTAGGCCTTTTCGAGTTGAGGTTCCGCGGTGTCGGGGCCTGAATGATTAGGGGTTTAGGGTTTAGGGTTTTAGGGTTTAGGGTTTAGGGTTTTAGGGTTTAGGGTTTAGGGTTTAGGGTTTAGGGTTTAGGGTTTAGGGTTCAGGGGCTTAGGCTTTGGGGTTTGAGGTGGTGGTACTGTTAGGGCGTAGGGTTTAGGGGCTTCGGGTTTAGGGTGGTATTGTTAGGGTATTCGGGAACGAACGCCGAGGAATGACACTACGTCTTTATCAGGCCACTCAGTTCCTTTATCGTGTCGTGGATAAGCTTGGCATTTGCGAAGAGTTGGGCCTAGGAGTTCGGAACGAAGAGGCTTGCTCGGCAAGATGATGCTTCGGCGTACTGGCCTTTTCTTCCGTGGAACTCGGAGCACGGATAGTGCAGGCGTCCGAACACATGGTAATAATATGTCTTTTTATGTAATTACTCAAAACCCTAAACCCTCAACCGCAAAATTAAGGCCCGCGTGTGGCCAGCGGAGATGGATGCACCAGGCCATGTCTGCTGTCATAACTCTTCGTACGTCCCAAGTACTTGGAGCCACAGGTATGGTCTCCGAAGAGTCCTTATATGCCCAAGGACCCATATAGGTACTACTTTCGCGCCTTCAAAGTATACACTGCATGAGTACATGGAGTGCCCTTGAATTGAACTCTGACTAGGCCCACGAAGCCCCCAAAATGTGTACCTTATAATAATAATAATACTACTACTAATAATAATAATAATAATAACAATGATAATAATAATTATACTTGTAGTTTCTGCATAACCTCAACACCGTACTCTGATCATTCAGGGCCACCATATGAAATCCATAGAACCCCCATAGCCTCCTCGAATAACACCCTTTAAACCACCACTTTGGTCATGGATGCTATATTCAGCCCCAGAAAGCCCTGTTTAGGGTTTAAGGCTCCCGTGCCTGGAAGGTACATCCCACGCCTGCTGCTATCATCAGGCTAAGGGATTATGAGGCATTCCATAACTGGGTTGTAGTTTGGGGGGCCCTGACAAGTATTTATGAAGAGGTACCTCTGTAGAAACCATAAGGGATTTTTAAAGTTTCCCAAATTGCCACCTAGTTAACGATTCCTTTTGGGATTGCTATTTTGACACCGGCATCTATATCTTCAAGGTTCCGCAGCTGGGGAGTTGGGCTTTGTGGGGCTCTTGGGGCTGAGGATGAATAGAGAAACAACTGTTCTTTTAGGGTTTCCGTTTAGGGTTTAGGGTTTAGGGTTTAGGGTTTCCGAATCTTTGCGGCAAGCTTCGGGGCTTGGATTTTGAGATGTCACCTGCTTTCAGGGTCTCGGTTTCTGGGTCGAGGCATCTGCTGATGTTGCGCGTGTATCGTGGCGAAACGTCGTGAAGAAGGATGAAAACAAAAGCCTTCAAGCCAAACGCAGGGGGCTTAGCGCTGATAGCTTTTAGGGTTTAGCAGGAACCCTATCTCCGCACACGGCAGCAGACACACTTCCCAAACTCCAAACCCCAAATCCTCAACCGTGAACCTGCCAACTCCAGACACTTATGCAGCCTCTGCCACCGAAGCCATTAATGATCCCAAGAAGGCTTGTAAACCTGAAACCCCTGCAAGATAGATCCCATGGGAACCCTGAACCCTAAACCCTAAACCGCGCACCATAGATACCATGGGTGCCAAGAGCTACATGCACATGGCCCAAAGCCTAAAACTCCACAGGCCCTAAACCCCAAACGGTCTCCTTCCTAAACCGTAAATCCTCAACGCCAACTGCCGTTTATGAAAGCAAAACTGAACCCAGATAGGAAACTCCTTCTAAAAACCCAAATCCCAACACAAAAAATCCTAAAGCAACCCTACACCCTGAACCCTACATATCCTAAGCCACTAAGCCCGGCTGTTATCCTGAACCCCAACCCCAAGTTCGAAGGAAGTCTCGGCTCACATCCTGCCTAAATAAAACACCCTGAAGTCTGAACCCTAAACTCGTACTAAACCCTAATCAAGCCCTAAACCCTGAAACCTTAACCCCTACCGTTCCAACCCCCCCCAACCCGAAGCACCCCAACCCGTAAGTCCCGTATGCCGCAGAATCGCCTCCGTGCGCAGGTGCGAAATGGGCGACAGCTTGGACCGAAGCGACTTCGGCAGCGCCTGCTAGGGGTCATCTTTTAAATTTGTTTAGGGATTTAGGGTTTAGGCTTTTTAGGGCTTAGGGTTTAGGGTTTTCTTATCCCCTCAGGGACGCGTTTTAAGCTTTGGGTTTCTTTGAAGGGATCGTAAGAGGTCTATGATCCTTGAAGGGCTCCTTTAAAGGCCCTATCGGATTTAGGGTGTAGGGCTTGATTTCGGGTTGAGGGTTTGGGGTTCGAGTTATGGGCTGGATCATACGGGGTTCTATAAGGGGCTTTGGGGTTTATAGGGCTTGTAGGCTTGCAAGGTGACTGGCTTGTTTGCTTTGTTGTTCGTTTTCGGGGCTCCATCAAGGGATCGCATACATAAGGGGTCTACTATGTATGGCTGTTTTCCTTTGTAGAAATCCCGTTTCTACGGTGGCTTTAGGAGATTCGTAGGGTTTTAGGGTTTTGGGCTCGGGGGTGAGATTTGAGGTTTGGCTTGTGCTCTTCTCTCATCTCCAGGGCTTGGGCTGCTCATTTCAAAGCGATGAAGTCTTGAAGACCGCCCTCTGAATGGTCTGGTCTGGGTACATACATGCCTACTGTTCTGGCCCAGGCCCCACAGTAGTTTCCTTTTTGAGATTGCCTTATAGGATTCTACATATGAACCCCCAAAAGGAACTATTTTAGGGCCTATGGGCAAACATCTCAATCTTAAGCGCTGGACCTTAAACCAAATATCCGTACGCCCCCACATGGCAAGCTCCACGCCTTCAAGCCAAACAAGCTTAAACCTTTAAACTGAAACTCTAAATCTTAAGTCCAAGTGACCCTGAACCCTAGATGCACAAGCCCTAGACTTGAATAGTACTAAGCCCTAAGACCTAAACAAAAAATCTCATACATCTCGAGCTGTAGCCGGTAGCCATGTGGTACCTAATGATGTATATCTATATAGGGACTGCTTTACGGCCAAAGTATACAGTAAATGGGCACATGGACCCTGAGGGTGACATTCACCAAGCTCCACGCCTTACAGAGGCCACGAGCGCAGTCTCGTGTTGGAAAAGGTGCTCTGAAGGCAACCTGCTCTTCAAGGTTTCGGGTTTGGGGGCTTGGGGTCTAGGGATTAGCGGAGGCAATCTGTTGTTCAGGCTTTGGGGCAGTAGGGCTGCATGCGTTTTGAGTGCTAGGGTTCAGGGGTTTAAGATGGCTTGGGGATTGAGCGGCACATACCCGATTCCTACTCCGATCTAACTCGTGGGAAAAAGAACGAAGAGGAATAGGTCCAGAACAGCGACCCTGGGGTCCTTACTTATGAGCTTTGCTTTTGGAACCGGCCTGAAGCCGCGCTGCATGGTAGAGCTAGGAGGACCCACTTTCCGGCGGCCTCTAAAGGCCCTGAAGCCTCAGCCCTGAGCCCCTCTCCCCGAAGCCTCGCAAAACGGTACCATGAATCCCTGGGTTTAGGATTTAGGGTTTAGGGTTAGGGTTTAGGGTTTAGGGTTTAGGGTCACCCGCATACGAAAGCATCCCGGCCCTAATCCCTGAAGCCGAAACCCTTCCCCTAGACAAGTGCCGGCCAAAAGCCTAAACCCGAAAGCCCCTAATCCCAGACCGTCAAACCCCTAAACCCTCGAACCCCCTATTAGAACCCTACAAACCCCGCAAACTCTAAACGCTACAAGGCTTAGACCCTATAGCCCGTGCTTGTCCAGTGAGGTTGAAGGTTGCTAGCTCTACTACTCAGAACCCTTACAGAACACTTTTGTGGGTTTAGGGTTTAGGGTCTTGTTTTAGGGTTTAGGGCTTAGGGTTTAGGGTTTAGGGTTTTATCCTTGTAGGATCCTCCAAGGTCGCCTAAAACAGGAACTACAATGGAGACTCGAGGTCTAACCCGAGACCCCGGGTCCTTCGTTGCCTCGGTTCCATAACCCTAAACCCCTGAACCCTACACCCTAAACCCCAAAACCCCAAAACCCTAAACCCCTAAACCCAACTAAACCCTAAACCCTAAACCCCTGAAGCCTAAACCCTAAACCCCAAAACCCTAAACCCCTAAACCCAACTAAACCCTAAACCCCAAACTAAACCCCAAACCCTAAACCCTACAGCCCTGAGTCGCCTCGGTTCCGGATGCCAGCTGCTGTATCGCCATGGCCGCATGCAGGAGCGAGGTTTCGGCTAAGCGGCTGCTGGCACCTGCACCCGGGCTCACCTCGGTTTGGCGTGGGTTTATAAGGGTCTGGAGTTTAGGGCTTATAAGGTTTATAAGGGTTTAGGGTTTAGGGGTTTAGGGGTGTAGGGTTTAGGGGTTTAGAGTTTAGGGTTTAGGGGTTTAGAGTTTAGGGCTTTAGGGTTTAGGGATTCCTGCAAGGGTACCTCTAAGGGTTCCTCATCAAGGATCTTTAAAGGCTCACCTCGGTTTTGGGCTTGGGATTTGGGGTTTAGGGTTTAGGGTTTAGGATTTAGGGTTTAGGGTTTGGGGTTTAGGGTTTCGGGGTTCGGGTTGCTTTTGCTTTAAAGGGTTTCTCTAAGGGGTTCCTTTAAAAGGGGCTCCTTCAAGGCC